CGTAGATTTTACAAGCCTGAACAAAGCTTGTCCCAAAGACAGCTTTTCTCTACCTAAGATTGACCAGTTGGTAGACGCCACATCTGGACATGGAAGGATGAGCTTCCTGGATGCTTACAGAGGATACCACCAGATAGCCATGTACCCCCCAGACGAGGAGAAGACAGCGTTTATCACCCCGAAAGGGCTGTGTTGTTACAAGGTAATGCCTTTTGGGTTGAAAAACGCAGGAGCAACTTACCAAAGGTTGGTAACCAAGATGTTCAAAAACCTGATTGGCCAAACAGTAGAAGTTTACATCGACGACATGGTCGTGAAGACCAAGGAACCAAAGGGCCATCTTGCCGACCTACAAAAGGTCTTTAATATACTCAAAACATACCGGCTCCGACTCAACGCATCGAAATGTGCGTTTGGAGTTGGATCAGGTAAATTTTTGGGGTACCTGGTAACAAGAAAGGGCATTGAGGCTAGCCCAGATCAAATCAAGGCCATCCTAGAGCTGAAAAGCCCGACGTCGGCAAAACAGGTTCAGATGCTTACTGGAAGGGCCGCAGCCCTAAACAGGTTCATAAGCCGAAGCTCAGACAAATGTCAACCTTTCTTCAACCTGGTGAAGAAGGCTACGGACTTCCTATGGACTGAGGAATGTGAGGCCGCCTTGGCCGACCTAAACAAATATCTGACCACGGCTCCAGTCCTCTCAACACCTGAACCTGGGGAAGAACTGTTTTTGTACTTAGCAGTTTCAGAACACGCGATAAGTGTCGTGCTAATCCGAGAGGAAAAAAGGGAGCAAAAGGCTGTTTATTATGTAAGCAAAACCTTGGCCGACGCCGAAACAAGGTACCTACCACTAGAGAAACTAATGCTGGCCTTAGTAATGGCTTCAAAGAAGCTAAACCATTACTTTCAAGCACACAAGATTATAGTGTTAACAGAGCACCCACTAACGTCCTTGCTACAACAAGGAGACTTAACTGGAAGAATAGCAAGATGGGCAGTGGCCTTGGGCCAGTACGACCTGGAGTTCAGACCAAGAACAGCAATTAAGGGCCAAGTTTTGGCCTAGTTCGTGGCTGAATTCACACCAGAATCCATCAAACATCAGGCTCCGTTGAGCCAAGATGAACAAGGTCCAAGCAAACAAGGAGAAGCCCAGCCAAAGGCAAAAGAACAAAAAAAGGAAAAACTCAGACCCTGCAGCATTTAGATCGGCGACTTCTTTCGCCTATTTGTCGATTGGGGTTCAAATCGGCAAGGAGCAGGGGCAGGAATAGTGTTAATATCTCCTGATGGGGAGATATTAGAACAGTCTATTCGATTGGGGTTCAAGGCCTCAAACAATGAGGCAGAATACAAAGCACTGATTGTAGGACTAAAGCTAGCAGTAGCAGATGAGGTAATAATTTTTTCTGATTCATAACTTATAGTAAATCAAACAGCAAAAGAGTTTGCAACCCGAGATGAGAGAATGTCGGCATACGCAAAGGAAGTCATCAGGCTGGCAACCTTGTTTCGCAACTGCCGACTTCTTTAAGTTAGCCGAGATGATAACAACCACGCCAATGCGTTGGCCAACTTGGCAAGCTCAATGCAAACTAGAAAAACAAGAACAATAATGATTGACTATCTGTCAAGCCCGAGCATAGAACAGCCGATCACAGAGCAAGAAGCAATGTGTGTGGACTTGGGACCAAGCTGGATGGATGCAATTGTTGCATTCCTGAAAGAGGGAAAGCTGCCAGAAGACCATAAGGAGGCACACAAGGTCAGATTGAAGTTGGGAAGATTTAGTCTGACAGCGGACGGACATCTCTACAGAAGGTCCTTCACTGGACCCTTTTTAAGGTGCGTACACCCTTTGCAGGTGGAAGATTTTCTATACGAAATTCATGAAGGGATTTGTGGAAACCACGCTGGGGGCAGATCACTAGCTCACAGGGCCATTACCCAGGGGTATTGGTGGCCTTATATGCAAAAAGATGCAGAAGCCTACGTGAAGAAGTGTGAACAATGCCAAAGGTTCGCACCTTTGATACACCAACCAGCTGCTGACCTGAACCCTGTATCCAGTCCATGGCCATTTGCCCAATGGGGCATGGATCTCATTGGGCAGTTACCCCAAGCAACTGGGCAAAGGAAGTACTTACTGGTAGCAACAGATTACTTCACGAAGTGGATAGAAGCGAAACCTCTTGCCAAAATCTGAGATGTGGACGTCAAGAATTTCATATGGAGAAACATCATCACTAGATTTGGTATTCCAAGAGCAATAGTTGCCGACAACGGAATGCAGTTTGACAGCAAACTTATCAAGAACTTCTGTGCGAAATTCAAGATAAAGAATTACTTTTCAACACCAAGTTTTCCCCAAAGCAATGGGCAAGCCGAAGCATCCAACAAAGTAATTCTGGACAGAATAAAGAAGAGACTGCAGGCAGCAAAAGGAAAATGGGTAGACGAATTGCCCAATGTACTCTGGGCATATCGAACTACGCTGAGAAGATCAACAGGGGAAACCCCCTTTGCCATGGCCTACGGCACAGAAGCAGTCATCCCACTGGAGGTCGGCATCCCAGGAATCAGAACCCAGGGAGTAGAGAATGGAATTAATGACATACGTCTAGCCCGAGATCTGCATCTCTTAGAAGAAAGAAGGGAAAAAGCTGCAATTCAGCTCGCAGCGTACCTGCAGCAGCTTGTTAGAGCTTACAATAAGAAGGTCAATCCAAGGGATTTTCAGGTCGGCGACTTAGTTCTAAGAAAAGTTGTTGGCAACAAGAAGGATCCCAGAGAAGGCAAGCTTCGCCCAAACTGGGAAGGGCCCTACAGAATCACTTCGGTATTGGGCAATGGGGCATACAGACTTGAAGACAATGAGGGCAAAGCATTGCCAAGACCCTAGAACACTTGTAATTTGAAATTTTTCTATCATTAAATGTTCCTTGTTATTCCTTACCAACATCATCAATAAAATTTTAGCAGAGTTCTCCAAAGACTTGTAAATTGATAAAAGATGCATAATGATTGTTTTTGAAATAATGAGAACCCAAGTGGAACTCAGGTTCACATTGGGGGCAGAGAGAAGACAGTAATGCTTAACGCTTGTTGAAATTTGTAGCAATTTACAAGTTGAAGTTAAGCCGAGATAATTGTTTATCTTCACTTGTTGAAATTTGTAGCAATTTACAAGTTAAAGTTAAATCGAGATAATTGTTTATCTTCATTTGTTGAAATTTGTAGCAATTTACAAGTTGAAGTTAAACCAAAGTAATGCTTAACGCTTGTTGAATTTGTAGCAATTTACAAGTTGAAGTTAAACCAAAGTAATGCTTAACGCTTGTTGAAATTTGTAGCAATTTACAAGTTGAAGTTAAGTAGAGATAATTGTTTATCTTCACTTGTTGAAATTTGTAGCAATTTACAAGTTGAAGATAAATCAAAGACAAGATACTTGCCGAGGTATATCATCGGTAGGCATAACCGAGGTGTGTCACCCCGAGAAAGTTACACAAAGGAGGAAGAGTGTACAGGTGCAGAATATACTAAGTATAGAATCATGCAAAGACAAAAAAGAAAAGACAAGAGTACAAGCACTTAGAAAAGAAAAGTTATATTCATTCACCAAAGGGCACATCGGCCACACAAAAAGCATACATTGTTCCAAAAGATAAAGAAGCAACAAAATACAAGTAAGTAAAAGAAGAACATAAAACAAAGGCTCATCTCCTCCAGATTGTTGAATTTGAAGATCAGATACCACCTCGGCCTCCTTCTCTGCCGCTATCTCGGCTTCAATTTCTTGGAGAGTTTTTTCAACAGTCTTGACCTCAGAAGGGATGTCGGCTGGTGCGATGTCAGGAACAGCTTCTTGGACAACCTCATCGCCTTCTTCATCATGAGTCAAGTCTAGGACTTGCTTACTCTGAAGAGGGGACTTGGTCCCATCAGCATCTTTTGATTTTCTAATCAAAGCCTCGTCCTCTTCCTCCTCGGCCTCATCCTCGGCATCAGATTCGCCGACATCTTCACTCGGAGTTGGGGCTGAAGGAAATGGAAAAGAAATGGCGTCGGCCTTCTGCAATGGAGAATCATCAGGAACATTAAGCTTTTTAAGAAGGGACATCTAACTAAGGGTGAAACCCTTGTTGCATGCCTCCTTCACTTGTTTTTCGTAGGCCTCAGTAACGTCGGCCATACCATGTGAGTACGCCTTTTCGTCAGCGTCTTTGATTTCAGCTTCTTTGGTTTTTCAGGGCCTCCTGAAGCTCTTTTTCAGCTTGGGCCATTTTTTCCTCGGCCTCTCTCCTTTGCGATTCGGCCACCTTCCTAATGGCCTCAGCAGCCTCAGCCTTTTCTTCGGCTTCGGTCTGAGCCTTGATAGCTTCCTCAGCTTGGTCTTCCAGTTTCTTCATTTTTGACTGGAGGCCTTTGTTGGTCTTTTTGAAGGCTGGAGACCTCCCTCTTCATCTCGGCAAGCCTCCTCCTATTCTCAAAAGACTGCATTGAGAAAGAGTGGGCATATTGGATGGCCTCAAAGAAAACAGAGGTATTAAAGAATATTCAAAGTGTGAAATAAAGAGAGAGAAAAATTTACCAAGTAGAAGACATTTACCTGACAGTGGGCGTTTCGCTCCAGGTCGCCTGGAAGAAGCAGGGCGGTACTGAGTGCGACGCCGACGTTTATATCATCAGCACTATCACTTGCCATGACAGGCTTGTCTTCCAAAGTAATTGTGGGGGCCCAGGGGGCATCGGGCTTTTTTGATCCCGAAGTTGTGGCGGAGGAAGACCTCGGCTTTTTTGGTTGTTGGGATTCTGATGGTTGAGATTCAGAACGCCTCTTCCCAGCAAAAGGCTGAGATTTATCACTCTCAGCCAACTTTGAGATAGGCAGAGTGTCTTCAGACTCAACCTGAGCTACCTTGGCCTTTGGTTGAGCCTTTTTTATTCTTTTTGGTTTTGCTGGAGGTTGGGTTTATGTTAGTTGTTCGTCAATGGATGATGGAATGTTGGCTAGGAGGTCTTTAGCAATTGGCTTTACACGACCCATCTCGGCTGTAAGAACAAGACGTCGGCGACGCTTTCTTTGGGATGGTGGAATGAGGTATGAAGCCGAGGTCGACGGTTGTTCTGCTGGATCAGAGGTTGATCCTTGGTCTGTTCGGGATGTTGATGCAGCTGGAAGAGTTGTAGCAAAGGGAGGAGATAAGCTCTTCTTCTTCTTTTTCTTGGGGACGTCGGGGAGAGCTGATATATGTTGGGATGAAGTTGAGAAGTAGGGGTGCCTTTCGCTTCTGAACTGGCAGGTCCAGTAATTTCTTTAAATCCTTGCTGGGAACAAAGGATTGGCGAAAGTTTTTTGGCGGCTGAGGAAGAACTGCAAAAGAAAAAACAAAGCAGACATTAGGAAACAGATAAAGTATACAAGAATTTAAAAGTAAAACAAGTATGAATGCAGGGCTCTTACCATTACCCTCTATAAAGATTGATCGTGGGAGAGGGAAGAGATGGAGGTCTTTATCTGGGGTGAACTCCCAGTTCCCCGAGGTAATGAAATAATCGTCACCAGCTCCCTTGTTGGAGTCTGGGAGGTCGGGTACAATTTTAAATTCTGTGGACCTCGGCTTAAGGTAATAAATGTAACATTTTTCCTTCAAGTTAAGGCCACACATGGTATAGCAACATTGGATGTCGGCAAGCGTGATCCTAGCGTTTTCCTGTTTAGCTAGGGTTATAATACCATTGATCACTCAGTAAGAATTGATGGCCAGTTGCATAGCGTTCAACTTATAGTAATGAAGAACCTCACGAAACAGAATGTTTAATGGAAGCCGAAGTCCATACTCGATAAAGGTGACTACAGGGAAAGACATGGAGTCAGGAGTGGGCATGATGGAGTTATCATCCCCAGCCAACCTCAAATGGACGTCGACTGGGATCTCAAACTCCTGTCTAAAGTATTCTAGTTTGGAGGGGGTGTTTACCCTATGTTCCCACATACCCATGATATCGGCTTAATCTTAGAAGGTGTGTCTTAGAAGATGTTTTTGAAAGGCTATTGGGACCTCGGAAAACAAAAAGGTAGGTGTAGCTTCAATTTTTTCCTAAGTTATGGGTTCTACAGACAAATCCCAGACCTAAATCTATGGAAACACGGATTGAAAGCAAGAATCTGGAAAAGATGCAAAAAATAGAAAACAAAAACAAAGTTTCAGAAACAAGAATTAAGATGGGCTATCAAGAACATGAAGAATACAAGAGTGTATGACCAAGAACAGTGGCAAAAGTGCAAAGAAGTGGCGAAACAATGCGTGTGTTCAAAATGTGGGCAAAGGCAAAATCATGGATGAATGCATTCAGATGTACGATTTATGAATTAAAAAAGCTTGAAACAGTACAATAATGGCAACAACAAAAAAAAGAAGAAACATTAGGGAATTGAAAACGAAAAGAACAGTAGCTTACCAAAAAAAGGGAAGCCGGAAAGGGATTTGCCGATGTCCTACGACGGTTACAGGAGCAGAAGACCGGTGGAAATCTCACCGGAAGGGGTGAACGGAGAAGGTTGCAGAGCTTTGAAAGCTTGGGCAGTGGAGGGTTTCGAAAGCTAGAGGTAGCAGGAGATTCGAATGAAAAAGTGAAGAGACGGAAAAAAGGGGAAAAGTTTTTGATTAAACAGAAACGGCGGCAAAAGCAATCAATACTGCGTCAGACGGCGCAGACGGACGAAAGACGGCTTACAGGCGCGTCGCGGACACGGGCCAATAAGGATGTAACGCGTGAATAAAACGGTTGAAAAGTGATGTATGACAGCTCATATGCATAAAGGGATTCATTTGAAGTTCTTATTCCCCGATGAAGACATGTGGGCCTAACGTGAATGATCTCGGCCAAGGAGCTCTTACGCCGAGGTAATAGAAGAAAATATAGATATAGGTTCCATCACCTCAGAATACCGAGGTACTAGAACCTAGGGGGCAGTTGTGGGGATGTATTTTCTGAATGCCAACACGTGGCAAGGTGACGCCGACGTGTCAGCCGAGGTGCCACGTGTTTTGATTGTGGCGCCGAGGTTATCTCGGAAAAGCCGAGGTTATCTCCGAAGATATCGAAATCCGAGATAAATGGATAAGGGGCAAGAGTCTTAGAGTAAAGAGGGAACTTTGCTAAGATAAGGATAAAACTCTTAGGGAGTTTATCTTTATCTCTTGTGAAATCCTAAGTAAGTACTGAATGGGAGTCCATAGAAGTCAGGCTTCTAGTGGGATCAGGATTGAGTTGGCTATAAAAGAGAGGCACCCTCGTGGGTCTAAGGTACGTAGTTTTATGCTTTGAGTAATGAGTTTAGCACTTGATTATCTTTGAGAGATATACTAACTTGATCGTCGGAGTGCCCCCGGGTAGAAGAGCCACCGCCGGAGCCTTTTCTTTCTGTTGCAGGTTAGCTAAAACCATCTATTCTGTCGGTGCTCTCCAGCTGATTACTAGGCGGGCAGTGTGATCAGAAAATCACGCACACACTAATTATCTGTACCGGCATAGTGCTACTCTATAATTGTCAATTTATTTATTTATTAGACTGCATTAGTTACAAGGAAAATAAATTTTGAGGCATAAAAGAATCCAAAACGTAGGCAATCTGAGAGTCTAAATGGATTGGGAGTTGATAATGAAAAATGACAAAATTAATTGTAAATTAATAGAGTACACGCCAATTAGTTTTCTTTGAATATTTTTTCCAAAACTAAAATCTACATTGCATTTGTGCCTTAACAATTATTTTTTTTTTATTATTTATAACTAGCGTTATATTGAACACTTGTTTCTTACATATTGATGTGAAAGCTATTGTTGAGTTTTGTTTCAATTTTTAATGTTTATTATTGCAGGACACCTGTCATATTATTTAAGTGGATTATATTTTAATTTTTAAAATTTTATTACATTGTTTGGTTTGAATTTTTTAAAAACACTTTTTAAAAAATTTTACTTTCTTGTTTTCTATATTTTTTTATTTTTACAGAAATTTTTTTAATATTTTAAGCAATTTTTTTTTTTAATTTTTAGATACACCTAACATAAGTACACTTAAAAAGTATAATTTTTGTGAACAAAATCTTTAAAAAATTCACTAAATATAAAAAATATAAAAAAAAAATTAAAATTCAGTACATTTTTTTGTATTTTTGTGTATTTATTAATTTTTTAAAAATATTTTTTCACAAATATTTTACTTTTTAAAAAAATGCTTCAAATTTTTAAAATATTCACTAAAAACAAAAAAACACGAAAAAAAAAACTCAATTTTCAAAAAACTTAATTTAGAATACTCAAACCAAACATTATCGTCGAAATTAATGTAAACAGTAACATGTCAGTAATATGTTATTCTAGTTCACAATAACATATTACTCCGATAATATTATCCTAGAAAAAAAAATATTTTATTTTGTCTTTACCCAATTATGTGCCTCCTCTTTAGGGGGATTTATGAAACAAAATAAATTAGGCTATTATTTTAACCAAACAAAGATACAATGGAGAGGTTTTACCTAAATTTCCTTTTTGTTTTCTGCTTGCTAAAAAAAAACAATTGATCTATTTACCCTATCAATAACCCAGTGAGATTTGGCATATACTTATACAATTATAACACTAATGAAGTTGGTTGTTGAGAACTGCAATGAAAATCTATATTATATAAGAAAATTTGAGTTTTTGATCCACAAGTCTTGTGGGTGCTTTAAGTTCTCAATCTAAATTTTTTAATTTTTTAATTTTTAAAAATTAAAAAAATCTTCTTTGGGTAACTCTTATTCAAGTAAAAATAAATAAATAAACAAAAATTAATATCCCTTAATTTATGACTTTTAAATAGAAAGTATATCAAAGTTTAAAAAAATGAAAAGTATATTAATTCATTTCAAAATTCAAATTTGAGGGTCACTAAATATGAAAAGTAATCTATTAATTTAAATTTAAAATGGCACAATATAATTTTAAATTATAATGATCTATCCCATGATTTATAAGTTTTAAATACAAATTTAAATTTATCATAATTAGCTCATAATTTTTGTATTTATAAGCAATAAGAGTGACGTTGAAATTATTTATATATTTTACAAAAGAATGTTTTTAAGAAGAGATATTGTGAGAGTTTCAAAATTTCATATAAAATCTATATGCTATTATAATTGAAAAACGTTGTTATCCTATTAAAACTTAAAGTTGCAATTCTTTTTTTCTTTTCTTTTTTTTTTGTTTAATTTTTGTTAATGTGTATCGCAATATGATACACAAATTGAAAAGTATATTAATCCATTTCAAAATTCAAATTTGAGGGTAACTACATATGGAAAGCAATCTATTAATTTAAATTTAAAATTGGCACAATCTGAATGTAAAATTATAATAATCTATCCTATGATTTATAAGTTTCAAAATACAAATTTAAAATTATCATAATTAGCTCATAATTTGTGTATTTAACAATAAGAGTGACATTAAGATTATTTATATATTTTACAATAAAATGCTTTTAAGAAGTGATATTATGAGAATTTCAAAACTTCATACAAAATCTATATACTATTATAATTGAAAAATGTTTTCATCCTATTAAAGCTTAAAGTTGCAATTCTTTTTTCTTTTTCTTTTTATTTTGTTTAATTTTTGTTAATATGTGTCATAATATGATTGATTTATAAATTAATTTTATATTCTTAAAATAAAATTTTAAATTTAGATTTTTCCTTAAATTATGTTACCAGAATAAGATCAATATTCATTCCTTAATTTATGCATATTTTATTAAATTATAAAATAAAATTTTAAATTTAATTTTTTTTTTAAATTATGTTACTACAATTAGAATGACATCAAAAATTAAAAATTGATACATAAATTGTGATAAAATTATAAAACTTAAATTGCAAATTTCAATATTTTTTTTATTCCATAATTTACATATAAAAATCTAACTATTTATATTATTTCATATAAACATATTTTATTAATTTTTTCACATCTCGTGCATAGCACAGGTTTCACTAGTAAAATAAAAATTCAAAAGGAATTTTTTAGTTGAAACTTGAGAGAGCAAGATAATTGAAGTGAACGCAAGGGGTTGGGATACTTTGGTAAGGTGTTGGGGGTATAAGCCCTGAAATTTCATGTTCTACAC